GGGCAGTCAAATGGCGTCGAATTCTTGGGGCCGAGCGTAACTCTTTTTACCTGCGCTCGTTCGACGGAGCCCGCCGCTTTCCGAACTGTCATTCAAGAATTCTTTCTTACTCTAAACGATTGAAAAAAAGTACAAGATACTTTGTGAAAACTACCTTTTTAAAATAAAAGTACCTCTAATATCAGTAATAACGATTCAGAAAATTTTAATATTTGAGAAATGGAAAATTTTTTGAATTTCCACAAACAAGCGGTTCTTTGAGTTTTCTCGATACCGCGTCGTCGGTATCAATGCGGCACTTTAGACGTTATTGCGAATAAAAAATAAAGGAGAAAGTGTAATCGTGGTTTAACACCTCGGGCGAGGCACGATCGTTCCTCACTCGATAACGATCAATTAACGCGTTTCTACTATCCTGTTAATTATGTCCGATCTCCGTTGCAAATTGAGCGCGGACGTAATAAAAGACCTACACTTACCAGCTAATTGTACCTTTAAGAAAACTACTGTTGATTCGATATCGATGTCGTATCTACCTACATCTAAATTACAATCTCTTTAGGATTAATGAGTGTGACGTAATAATGTTCGATAGCCAGTGTTATTAGCGTATAATAGCGCTATGATTAATTTACAAACTGCCCTTGCGTAAATCGTCGTGTTGATCGCATTGCGGCGCTTTCGCGACAAGTGAAAAAAAAAAGATAAAATTATGATTTATAATTAATGAAAGTGTATTAAATAAACATAATCGAGAACCGATGCTATCTTAAGTTCAATTATACTCAGATTCTTTATCTCCGAACTGTGAACTTGCCGGCGAAGATTATAGACGAAAGGGTTCGTGGGTTGAAGCCAAACTGATATAGCCATTCACGGCGTCGATCAATTAATTAAGCAGCGACACACGACGCGTTACTCAAGGACGCCTGATTAATCGGGCAGTTTCGAACAGCGCAGCTACACCTCGTACATGATCTTAAGGGTTAAAGTACATTTACGCTATAGGTAACGATTAAGATTAGACAGCAAGAACCCTTGCGATAACCGACTATCTAAATGTAATTAACGAGTTTGTAAAATAGCCATCGATATCGAGGCCGATCGTGTCGGGAAAGATCGCAACAGACCATTGATTCGTAATAATAATTATTATTCCACACATTCCGCGACGACTATATATATTTCAAATCGCACGTAATCGCGTGAAAACATCTTCGATCGACTTTCAGGAAGGATCGACGATCGCACACACCGATGTTCGATCGGGCGCCAAATTAGTTTTCTGCAAACTTGAATCCGCCTCGTAACGCATTGTAATTCGCTACACCGGATTTCTCTTGCGGCGTATTACCTCGACACGATCGGCCGGCGATGACGCAACGGCACTGTGTATGCAAACCGCGTTCTCTCCTGAACATTTTTCAAGCAAGGATATCGGCGTAATGCCGTTCCAGAAACTGAAGAAATTCGAGTCGAGCGCCGTGAAATGAATCATCCAGAATCCCGAGAAACCGTCGACGAAACCGTTTATCTCTCTCTGTGGCGTATATATATAATACTATACTGTATGTGATTCTCCTACACACTCTTTACACGCGCGAAAGAGCTCGTGCACTCCTTTATTCTAATATATCCTTAACGATTGATGGAAACCGCCGCAAGTGCAAACGTTCCCATTCAGGCCTGCGAGGTATTTTCACGCGCGACCATTGATTACAGGCTGCTCTTGGTTGCAAACAGACGAACGCGCGAACGAGCAGTCGCGGGTATATCATGACGGGGCGGCCCGGAAGTGGGCCGGAAACTATCAAAGTGTAAAGGGAACGGCGGTAGAACACGATTGCGCGATTAGAAAGCCGGTTCCATATGCATACGAGCGGCGAACTAGTTAAAAATTCGATCGATAGACCGCCTCTCTGACCCAACTCCCGTACGGCTGAATAATTAATCCGCGATAGAGGCCCTTCCCTCGCGGCATTCTAAGAACACTGGAGTGAACGAGGCGACGTTGACAACGGGGCTGCTTTTCGCGATTTCGCAATACAGAAACGTAATCGAACTTGTATGAGAATTAAATCGTTTTCGTTCGGAAACAGTTTTTCTAAATTACACATTTTTCCCTTATTTTCTTGTATGTGTTATATATATATTGTATTATTAGAATTATTTCGTCATTTTGTTCAATCGTATCTTCGTACATTTTTGTCCTCATTCCCGGGAACGTTTCACTTGCTCATCGTCGATGCACTACTCTAGCTTGATTATCCTACTGAGAAATACAACCCACTTCTCTGTATTTCCATCCGAGCCTGACAACAGCACAACGACATACCTCTCCTCTTTACTTGTAAAGCTCTTTGTATGTAGCGTATTCTAACATATTCGGGTGTTGAAAGGGAGAAAATCAAATTTTTAGGACCGTAACTGAAGGCTTGTTGTACGTATGTATATACGATGTGTGTATTCCTTCGATTTCTTGATATTTTCAGACACACTACTTGTGCATTCCACGCCATAGTCAATCGAATTTTATTTTTCCCACTTGAATAAATTTCAGACTTGTAAAAAAAAATGTTTTTATGCGATTGAAACTTTGATATTATATATCTGTGCTAGATTCTGCAATATATTTTATAATTTTATAATATTTTCATTATTAGCAGGAATTACTGTCTCACGTTTGAATAGATACGTCGTTCAATTGATTTCGGAAAGATATATCTACGATTATAACGAGACGGAACAATGATACGACCGCAATGAGACTCGCATATCAAGTCGCGAAGGACTAAAAATCGCGCCGTATGGCGAGCACCGGATAACGAGAGAGAAAGATTTGGCCTAATCTGTGTCTCTATTGATGTGTTATGCACTTACCGTTTACCCCCACATCACCGCAGTACATGTATTAAACATCCGGTGAAGAAAAAAAAAAGGGAAATAAATATTTATATAGAATCTATATGTACGAGACACGCGTCATAGCGTTCGACATCTGACATCGCACACACACACTCGTAGACGAACACGCACGACACGTGCACTCCGGTGATGGTCACGTTGCGACACAAAACGGAACACATGTAAGATGTGGAACGCACACACACGCCCGCAATTCGACGTGCGTGAGCGCGACGTTCTCGTTACCTTTTCGCCATCTTGAGGTAAAAAAAAGAAAAAGAAAAAAAAACGAAAAATCTTCCTAATACTGTTACTGAGATAAACTACGCGTACCACGACATCGCTAATTGCTGTTGTTGTTTTAATTTTTGTCGGCATTACCACGATTATCGATCTAACTAATGTCCCCGAATTTAGCAAGTTGACACACTCTCTGATTGTAAAACGCGATGTGGGACGGTTCACTCTTTATATTTCTACACATTAATATATATACCTATATATATATATAATATTAATATATATACACACATATAATATACATATACTTAGTGAGAGACGGAAGTTTTCCATCCCGTTAATAAAAAAGATATATAGTAAAGGAGTAAAAATATAAATAAATAAATAAATATATATATTGATAAACCTGGAAAATGGAAAAAATAAAAAATACGACATATAAATATATATATATATATCTATATACATGTGTATAATAGTCTATAATTTTTCATATTGTTGTACGAATTTTTAAGTTTATATTAAAATGTTTTGTGCATTCATAAAAAAAAAAGAAGTACCAAATATCCGTGTTTTTGTGATGCATTCATTGCCTATCCTACTTATCCTTATTATCCATAAATCTTTATTGAGTTGTGTATATACATATATATACACACACACACACACACACAGGCACACAAGTATATAAATAAGACTAGAAATAAATCTAAAGAGGAATTATTATGTAGAACTTTTATATTCTGTTTTAATTCTGTAAAATTCATCTCGGAAAATATATTTTTTCACTTATAAAAATTTATAAGAAGAAAACTTATTGTTTAAAAATAACAATATAGTTGCAGCTTTTATTCATCACTTATACATCGTCAAATGCAATGAAAATGTTTATTATATGGTGGCAATAATATTAGAATATTGAATATTTCACATGCTTGCTCTTTTTATAAGTTTTTTTTTATCATACGATAACAATATGACAGCAGCAGTTCAAGTTGATGAGCGTTATTTTTTAGCGAGTTTAAATTCTTTTATATATATTCTATTCATGTGTGAAGCCATATACATATGCCTGAAGGTGAGTATAGTATATAAGTAAACGAAATATAAATTTTGATTGTTTATTACACTTTAATTTTAATTAGAATTATAATTTATAATATTTATTCCTGTAAACTTTTCGAAAATTTTTTTCTTCTTGCAAAGCTTCTTTGCGATTACAACAATTATTAATTATTTGCCTGACTTATGTTAGCATTTATAATATATATTTTCAAATTATGATAATTATAAGATCCACATTATAACATATATTTTGGAGAACATAATTAACTTATATAGATCTTATAATTATAACATAATTGACGATACACGATTGAAGCTTGTTTATAATTAATCTGAGAAACTTAACTTAATAACAAAGAATTTTATTATATTTTCTTTATCGATACCTAACAAGCTACAACCCATATTGCTAATAGAAATGCGTGTTCGGTGATAAATCTAACGTAATGATTATTAATGCGGTAAAGATAAAACGAATGAGAAAAGAAACGAGAGGAACAGCAAGCGCGCAAAAACGAAGTAAAGTTAAGCAAAAGTAGAACAATCGATACAAGGGAAACTTAATAAATACTGTTATGTAAGCAAGTTATGATACTCTTATTTGCATATATTTAATAATAATCACAATTATACCTAATGTATATTTATATGTGTGAAAAAGTAAATCTACGAAAATTGCAACTGTTGCAGTGCCTCTGTGTATCTGTTATAGCAATCGAATTGCGAAAAAGATAAAATAGAAATCAATAAAACGTCGATCGATTAAACTACGATTCACGAATCATTTTTCCTTTTTTTTAATGATATGAATAGTTGAAATCGCGCAGTAGTAATGTAACGAATGTGTACGCACATAAATGTATGTACGCAGTCTTTAAATGTCATGACGGGATTTCCACGCGGATATATCCGACTGCAGCGATCAATTTATCATTAACTGCATCGAGAGAAGCTGCACGTTCTATTGAAGTTATTGTATATAGTCTACTCTACCACCTCGATATTTACACACCCGATTGGTCGCAGTTCGCTTTGTATCAAACAGATAACAAGGTCTACGGTAAACCTATGGTTATGGAAGTATATCCCCGCGTATGTGTAAAATCAAGAACTTCGTCTGTATAACAATATATACCGGAAACAGCTTGTCAATATTTTTCTTGCGTAATTTCATGAATATCAAATTAATTGTAGCTTAAGAATACTTGGAAAGCACTTCAACATCATGTACGTTAGTCGTAAAAAGATTCCGCGTCTATCGTAACACTGGGATTATATCGTCGTTTAAGGGGTTACACCACTTTAAATTTTGAAAAAATTGATTGTTTTTTGTTAAAATGTTAATTTAGAGTCTTGAAAATATAATTTTATTCATCATTTCTGAATTTTATATACAAAATATCGTTAAGCGAAACTTTAAACGCGTTTTTCTCGAAATAACATTTCTCAAATCGGCGTGCAAGATATCTTCTGTAGGCTTTATTCGGAAACGATGTACACTATATAAGAGTTTCAAGACGACTACTGCGAGCTCTCGCAGTTCACCCTTTTATACATTTGTTACAAAGGCTCATATCGTTAAAGAAGTGCCGCTGCTGTTTTCGGTCGGCGTCGCGACTTTGATTCGGCGCAGCTTTGATTCCAATATCAAATGAACGCCGAACTATAACATTACGCCGTTATGTAGAAACATGAGTGTGATCGGTATGATCTGAGAGGTCGGATACTTTAGATCCTACACTTCTACAATTTTGATCCGATTCACATGAAATTTTAGGATAATCTTCTTTGTTGCATAATCTAAAGAAGTACATAGGGATTTTACGATATGTTAGAAACTTTTTTTACTAACATTTTTAATCAAAATGTTCTGGGTAAAAACGATACCTTTTTTTCAAACGTTTACCATTTCTACAAAAATCCATATTTCCAAATATTCCTATGTACTTTTTTAGTAAATATCATGTAGAAAATTTTAGTTTTTTGTCGAACCGTATTGCAGTTATCTTGCACGCCGATTAAGCGGTTTCTCAAAACCGACTATCATAAATACCGCTCCAGCATCGCCATTTTGTAAAAAAAAAGAAAAAAAAATTTCGGTATACTTTAAGATGTGTTCAATAGTAATAAACTTATAACAGATTTGACATTTATTTAATGATTTTTCCTAAAAAAAATGGCCAAAAATAGCGTTGATTTTTCAAGTTCAAAGTGATGTAACCCCTTAATTCAATAAAGAAATAAATCAGATTACCTTTTTTTTTTCAGATAGAAATATTATAGTCCTATAATCCTATCTCAGGAATTGAGATCTAACTTCGTGGCCACGTAAACAAATCTTTGTCCTCGTACGAGCAATGTTTAATCGGCGTTCTCGTGGAACTTGATGTAATGTATCTTCAAAGCCTTGTTATTAGGATACTTGACGTTGCATCGCGGACAGACGGCCCCAATTGCGTCGTGCACCACGTAAGTGCTTAGATCGGTCTCCCTGTGGAACATCTTGCTGTCGATTTGGTACACGGCGTTGTGCACGTTGGTGATATGGCTTATAATGTTCTCTCTACTGAAGACGTGACACTGCTTGCACAGTTTGCAGCTGTACAACACGTTGTTTATCAACGGCTCCTGTTCCCTCGGCCGTTGTTCCGGTCGATCCGGCCGTTCGATCGGGAAGGACAGTCCGCCGTTGTTCGGTGCTGAACCGCTGCCGGACTTGGCCGGACTGCCGGCGGTCTTTTTGTGCTTGATCGTGAAGTGCTGTCGCAAATTCGACAGACGCGGGAACTTCTTGAAGCAGACATTGCACGAGAACTTGCCGTCTCGGGTCGACATCGGTATGCATTCGGGTATCCTCGGATCTTTATCCGTTTGATTCTTGTGCGCGCTCTGCTTGTGCTTGTACAGCGCGCTCATGCTGGAGAAGCCTTTGTTGCACACATCGCACATAACCGCCTTCTTCTTCTCGCCGGCGAAGTTCATGGCGAAGGGCGGAAGCTTAGACGGTAGATTGTCGTTGCTCGTGTCCAACTTCGGACGCTTCAACCTCGGCTCAAAACCGCTGTTGTCCTCGGGCAAGAATCTTCGATTGCTGTTGTACAACTGTTGCTGGGCGCGTTGCAGCGGATCGCTGTGGAAGCTGAGTTTATGCCGCTGCAGGGATTGGCTGCTCGCGAAGACCTTGCGACAGAACGTACACAGGAACTGGCTGGCCGTCGTCTTCCTGGCTAAGGACTGAAATTTGAGAGAGGCCACGACGGTGGCCTTGTGCAGCCTCTTGTGCTTCCACAAAACTTTCTTCGAACTGTAAGACTTGCCGCATATCTCGCAATTGAACATCTTTCGCATGTCGCTGAGAATAGGATTGGCCTTGTGCCACTGCATGTGCGACTCCAGAGTCTTTCGATCGGGGAAAACGTTCGTGCAGAGTTCGCACTGAAGCTCGTCGTTGGAGAAACTCTTTTCCTGCTTGTTGCGAGCGCAGTGGACGTCCCACAGATGATTCCTCAGCTCCGTAACGTCGTTGAATTTGTCATTGCACACCTGACACTGAAAATTCCCCAATGACTTCGGCGGTGATTGGAGCGGAGCATTGGGGAAGGACTTTCGTGCTCTCGCCGGCCGTTCTGAATTTTCACCCAACTCGATGTTGCTCGAGTCATTCGGCACGTTACTAGGTGTCTTCTGATTGCCCAGTATATGTCGAGTGCTGAGACGCGAGTTGGCGCGATTGTGCCAGCCCTTATGTATCTTCAGAGACGCCTCTTCGACGAAAACCTTGCCGCAGATGTCGCACGCATAACCGTTCTGCGACTTCTCGAGATGGGCAGTGCGGAAGTGATAAGTGAAATTCGATTGGAAAACGAAACTCTTGGGACACTGCGAGCACTGGATCATGTTTTTCGAAGTAACATTGTGCTTCACTTGCATGTGATAGTCGTACAAGTCCGTGCGCGTGAACATTTTCGAGCACTCGACGCAGTCGTAAATCTTGGTGTTCCGGTGCGCGATTTTGGCGTGTCGTCGGAGATTGGGATAGCTGGACAATACCTTGCCGCACTCGCAGCACTCGTGGACCTGTGTGCCGGGATCCGAGACGGCGGTGGCGTTGATCAAATCATTCTCGATCCTCACGTCCCCCTCCAGACTGCCGTATTCCATGCAGGAGATGTTGGCGTTCCGCTCGTTCGGATCCTCGATGCCGTGATCCTTCATGTGGATCTCCAAGGCGCCGGAGCTGCTGAACATGCTGCGGCAAATCACGCACGAATATATCTTCACTTTAAGATGAAGATTTCGGTGCTCGTTCAGCTCGTTTTTCGTGGTGAATTGCTGGTTGCAGAGAAAACAGGAGTACTTGTTACCGACAATTCTCGATTTCGCTTGGCTCGAGCTCTGAATCTGCATGTTGTCGCCTTGCGCCTGCGAACTGCCGCCCGGTATCGCGCGATGTTTCTCGTGATGAGTCAGGAAGTCGCTGGGCGACCGGAACTTGGAGTCGCACGTGATGCAAGTGAACTCCTTCTTCTTGTGCTGCACCGTAGTGTGACTGTGGAACTTCTTGAATTGAAGGAACGTCATGTTGCAGTGCGCGCACTTGTACATCGTTCTTCTATCCAGTGTCAGCCGCTCGCAGTATTCCCTGTGCTTGAACATGTTCGGCCGGTATCTGTAAATCATGCCGCACAGATCGCAGGCGTGGTTGTGCGCCGGATCGCCGTTCTTGTAAGGCCCGCGGGCGGCTTTCCGCGCTTTATTGTCGGAACTGTCGTTTCTCGTTGTCGACGGCAACGGCGCCATAGGCTTCAGCTTGGGCGGCGTGCGCGCCGGCGATATCATCTCCTCGTATTGCTTGTCGGAATGCTTCAGCAAGTGACTGAGCAGCTCCTTTCTGTTCTGCAACGGGCGCATGCACATATTGCACGTGAAGTAACGCTCGTAGCCGTGCTTCGGTACAACCAGTGCAATCTTCATGGCGCACTCGAAAGATGCCCCGCAATGTGACTGATACATCGATCGATCGGAAAATTCCGTTAGGCAGGCGATGCACGTGTAAGGCCTCAGGTCTGGCAAGTGTTGACGTATGTGGGAGAGAGTGGTGCGCCGATCGTTAAATGTCTGCTCGCACGTGTAACAACAGAAAGTTTTCAATTGGCTGATAATTTCCTGTTGCACCTCCGTCAGTGGCGAATCCTTCTCCATGGTGACCAGTTCCTCCTCCAGGTCTTCCACCATTTCTTCTTCAACGTCATTCGGCGACATCAGTGCCGAATTCTCGCCGCCGTTCTCCTTACTGTGGAACCTTTTCATGTGCTTCAGAAATGAATATTTAGAATGCAGGAAGATCTGACAGTGCGTGCATTTCTGCTTGAAGACGCGCGTTCCTCTGAAATGAGTGTGAGGACCGCGTCTCAGTTTCTTCTTAGGCGATGAACCGGCCGCGCTCGATTTTTGCGTCGAATCGGCCTCCATAATTGTGTCTTCTTTCTCGCTGGCCGCTAAAGGACTTGATAATAATTCACTGCCATTCGCAGATTCTACTTCTATAGTGCCATCGGTGTCATCGTCGTCCTGTGGCTCAACTTTAATGGAACATAAGGCTAAAGGATCTTTCTGGTCCGTCTCTTTCTCTTCTGTAGATGGAACTGTTTCGGTGTCTTTTTGTTCGTCTTTTGCATCATTTCCATCATTATTATCGCTGTCATCTGATACTTCTAACACTTCTGGCACTTCTGACACTTTTGACATTTCCTGCACTTCTTGATCTTCTTGATCTTCTTGCATTTTTTCGATATTAACTTCTGTATTAATTTCAGTATTAACTTCAGTATCAACTTCAGTATCAACTTCAGTATCAACTTCAGTACTAACTTCAGTATTAACTTCAGTATTAACTTCAGTATTAACTTCAGTATTTTCAATTTTTTTGTCCTCAGTGGTCTTAGTTGGCTGGAAAACAAATAATTCTTTGTAAACAAATAATTCTTAAAACAAATAATGCAAAGAAATCTTGATTAAAAATTTTGTTTCTAATTGTTTTTTTCTTTAATGCAGAAAAGCTTACTTACCAATTGTTGCAGATTGTTGGTAGTCTCTGAGATAACCTCTACATTGTCCTCATAATTAATATCCATTGGTTCATCCTTGATCGTTACAATCTACAAGAATTAGGAATGTGTAAATAATAACAAAAATGATATAAAACATTATATTCTAATATTTTGTTCAAAATAAAGTGTCGCTTACTGTAGGATTTTGTTGCGACTGTTTTGATAGCCATTCTTGTAGTTTGTCCTGTGAACGCAAGCATGACTCCTTGTAGGTGTGCCATTCGTTGACATTTTTCGCGCAATTTGCACATATTAGTGTCGACAGTTTATCACTGGTGGAAATCTGAAAAATTAAAAATAAGGTTAGATAAAAATTTCTAGAATTTTAAGCAAATATAAATTAAATCAGTTGCATTACACATCTAATTTAATAAAATATTTTATATTTATAATTAATTTTCTAAAAGTATACAACTCATAATATTATTTTTGCCATTCAGCACTGTATTCATTAATTTATACCATACTATTTATTATTTCTATTCTTATTGTACACATTCTTTATCAAGCTTTTGAAAGAACATAGTCCTAAAGTATCACAAGACTATATCTTTTCAAGATAATTAATTTTTTGTAATTTACCCCAAATGAAATAAATATAATACATATTCAAACATCGGAAGAAAGACGAGAAGAAAATTTAGAAAAAACGGAAAGAACTTTGTAGGTAAAAAGTACAGAGTTCCGGTCATATGATCTCAACGTTCTTGATGGATCTTGCTTCTTGAACGAATATAACCTCGTGGTGTGTCGGCATATTCGGATAAAATATCTCTCAGCCGGCGTGATCAATTATTTGGGCCAAATATTTCATGGAATTATGTAGGAAGAGGCAGACGGATGTGCATATACCTGTATCGAGAGGCAGGTTTGGATCTTGGCGACCAGCGTCACACAGGAAGAATCTTCTTGCTCGTGCGCCGCGAACACTGAAGATCTCGGCTCATCGATGGAAAGGCACAGCCGGCAGACATCCTCCACGCTCTCGAGCTCCACCACGTCCTCGTCCATCGTGGACCGATGCTCGTTGAAACGCTACTCGGCGCGAGATATCACCGGATATTCTAATCCGTGATCGTCGCCGACGCCACGTACCTCTTTCAGACCCAGGTTAGGGACACAACGTTTTGTTTGCTGCCGACTGCTGCCGACACTCTTGGAACTGCTCGAAACCGGGAAAGAGTGAACCTCATTCGCATACATCCAGCTTGCTGACGGCGCGTGAAGATGGCGTAAGCGCACGCTTAGAGACCTTAAAATTAGGAAATTGGTGGACGCGATTAGGCGTTCTCTAATTATTTCAACGGCCAGAGAACGCCCAATCGCGTCCTTGAAAAAATGGACACGATTGAGCGTCCTCTAACTACCTCAACGCGATTAAGCGTTGGAATGGGAATGTTAAAAGAATATAACGCGACATTGGTTGATATTTTTATTTCATATATGTCTTCTGATATATATTTGATACAGGAAATTGTCATTTGTACACTGCAGGTAAGACAGATTGCACATCATATACACCAGGATGTAACATACGCAATATATTCCTTCGATCTTCCGCCGAAGCCAACCATAAATTCTTTCCCAATTTTCGTTTGCTATAAAATTAATGTTTGCGCACGTATACGCGCGCTCCAGTGCACTTCTATTAATTCTATTACAAAATGAAAATTTACAAAAATGTTATTTTTGTGATTAATCCTTCACGGTAACGTTGATAGAACTTTATTTAAATAGTGCTATAAGTTTTTATTGACTCTTCAAAAGCGGTCTCCAACTTCGCTTAGAACTCTGACTCGATAACGATCGATAAAATTCATTCATAGATTTTTCTATTACATACAGATAACCAGTTTCCTCGGCCAATCGGCGTCAATATCTCGATAAATATCAGTATCTTTCAATCGTTTGTTACAAAACACGCACATGCGCCTATTAACGATCACGAAATGTACATGCACTTGTCAACTACAAAGAAAGAAGAAAAAAAAGAGGCAGACATTTCCTCTTCGGAAAACTCAAGTGCGATTGCACGCTGCTTCGTTAGATGGCAGCTACGAATTGTTTCTCGATTCTTTCTGCCGCGAGACGCAACTTCTTCCTTTCGATACTACACAACTACTTGGTACGTTGAATGAGCTTGTATTGGCATTTCGTTCGCTTGCGCAGGCAGGCATCGCGATAGAGAGAAAGAAAACCGCGCCGCATGCCGTGCGCGCTACACGTACAACTTGTAACAAGCATATTGTATGCAAATCGAAGATTACGCTCCTTTATGCAAATAGCGACGCTAATAGCGCAACGTAACAGACGATTAGAGACGTACAGAGCCAGGCGTACGACGACCAACGTTACAATTTACACTTACAATTGTTTCATGACCGTAGCTTGAACGCTTAACGATATATACTAGGCGTGCAACTAAGTTTCCGGGTTTTTTTTATCAATGCAAAATGGAAAATTTCAAGAGAAATACAAAAAACGGTTTATTCAAAGTATCGTTCCTCGCTAGCTACACATTTTTGCCATCTCTCTGGCAATACATGAATACCGCGACGATAAAACGACGCGTCTTTGAATCGAAACCATTCATCCAACCAGTTTTGCACTTCTTCGAAATTGGCCAAGTGTAGCCCAGCCAAGCCATGCGCCATCGACCGGAACAAGTGATAATCGTAAGGGGCCAGGTCTGGTGAATACGGCGGGTGCGGTAGCAGATCCCATTTCAGCGTTTTGATGGTGTCCTGGACGATGGAAGTGCAATGGCACTCGTTCGATTTTCCATCTGTCTCTCAGTTAACTCATGCGGCACCCATTTTCCTTCTTTTTGAATTATTTCCATGGCATGTAAACGTTTGGAAATACCTTGGCGAGTCATGTTTAATGCCTCCGCAAGTTGATCTTGTGTTTGCGTATCATCTTCATCCAATAACGCTTGCAGATCGGCGTCCTCAAATGTTTTTGGTCTTCCGGAGCGCTCCTCAGTGTCGAAATCGCCACTTCTGAAGCGTTTAAACCAATCTTCACAGATAGTTTTCGATGGTGTTCGCCGTAGGCTTTCTCAAGCAAACGACGTGCTTCAGCTGCATTTTCTTTCAAGTTGAAGCAGAAAAGCAAAGCTTCCCGCAAATGCTGTTTATTTGGCACAAAACTCGACATCTTTATCGTTAGAAAAAATATTTTTGCGTTGCGATGTGTTGGTATTATGACTGGTTATTGCTGACAGATGTCCAAGTTAATAAAAAAACACAACTTTAGACATGTATATCAACTACATGTATCGTTAGCGCCATCCATGTGTGAAACCCGGAAACTTAGTTGCGCACCTAGTATATGCAAATATGCGCGTACGCGAAATTAGAACCATCGAGCTAGAAGTTTACACCTCTCTACGGAGGTATCCTGAGATTCTCTATCCTCTTAGAATCCTCTTAGAACTATTCACATTAATATACAGCTTATGCGAGTGATCATCGGCACATCGTTTACGTTTAACGAGAACTCCACGCGTCCTATCTAATATATTGCATAAAAAAAAAAAAAAATCTGCTGACTCTGATTTTTTTAAGAGTGTGATTGGTTTCGTGCCGTCGATCTTCGACATTGTGTCCCTAATGCGTAACCTACTGTCGAAAGAGACGCCTCGCATCTTCTGAAAAGTTCAATGCTATCTATTCTACCCGATGCGCCGATTCGCTTTGATGAATTTGGATCAATCTGCCTGAGTTTATTCGCGATGTCACTACAGACGAATCGAGTATAAAGTTTATTCCCTTTCGCACAAATATATACCGATGATCTTACCAAAAATCAAATAAACCCTTGGCTCGCGATGGAAATTCCGCGCCGTATCTCATGCGACCATGAAATGTAGTTTCAGTTTAACATATCTTCTTAAGCTTAACGTAAAAAAAGCGATTCAGGTTGTCAAGCAGATGGAGTTGAAGCAAGAGCTTCGCTGCGACTGCTGACGCACATAGTCCTGAACGTTGAATTTTGTCTCGTCAGGATTATCGCTTTTCCTGGCCTTCAGTTCCCTGCAAGCAGACAATATCGATCAGTTTATGCCGATCTCTCAGCGAGCGTCATGTGCGTCCACCAGCTATCTTTTTCAAAATATCATTTATATTCAGTTTTTCAAGTTTGTCCAACTATTGTCTTCATTTATCTAATTTTCTGTCTGACTTGAATTATCACGAAATTTTAATTCTAATTTTGGTGAAGAATATAAATCTTAATTAATTGAACTAAAATAGATGTTAACTATTAACGAAACCGGCTACAAATCTACCTTAAGCGTTATTTATTCTACCATTTATTCTGCGTTTGTTGATTTTAAACTCTGTTTAGATCGTACCGAGCAACGGCGAGAAATGCCAGTTCAACATTGAGGCCAGTCTTGGCAGACGTTTCCATGAACGGCACTTTGTACTCATGCGCTAATCGTTCGCCGTCTTCCCTCTTAACGATACGCTCCGTCCCGCAGTCGGACTTGTTACCTGCAGTTTAATAAATAACGAAGGAGAAGATAAATATTTTGAAAATATTCAGCCTTTCTCATGACGAAGCTAATAACGTTCTCCGCTGGCGCGATCTGGACTGTCCGAAAGCAATTAAGGTCAATTTGCATAAGCCGATAGTTCACGCGAAATGTATTCGAATCAAAATTAGAAATAAAAATTTTAAAAAAAACGGGAGATCAAAAATATATCCGTTTTACATATTCATATAAAATACATTTTATATTTTTACAGCTACATTTCGTGGCACAGAGAAATTAATCATAATTGTTTGCGAAGGGATCCAAACTGAATTAGGCGATAATGCCGCGGATTAAATTTCATCCTTCGTCAAATCGATTGTTAGTTCTGAATTTTCGATATGAAGTGAATTCTCTCGACGGCTGGATGTATATCAATTAGGATAATCTGACGGTGCTATTTTTGGAATCGAATCAGAATCATAGCCAGAGATAGCTTTCGCGGAGCTCTTATTTCCGCTCAACCATTATGCAATCCTTATTTCCAGCATCTAAATTCTTGAAGATCCAAGTATTCGCGGATCTCAAGTGGGCAGGTCTATTGTATCGGGAATCATAAATAAGCAGCGACTCACCTAACAACATGATGACGACATCCTCGTTTGCATGTTCCCGGATTTCGCTCAGCCAAGCTCTGATATTGTCGTAACTCGTCTTATTCGTCACATCGTACAGCAGCAAAAGCGCTGAAAACCAATCGTGAATTGTATGTTTTTTTTTTTTTAATAAACTTTACATCACCCGACAAGCAATAATCCAAAATGCGTCATTATTCGTACATAGCTAAAATTTTAATACACTTGTTGGACTTAATCGAATTCAGAACAAAAGTAATGACATTTAATTTGACATAAACCACTTTGAATATTATTTTAATTTAAGCTTTAATATTTTAGTATTCAGTGTAATAATTAATTGGGAAGAAATTACCGCGTTGAAAGTTCATTATTTCATATTAAAATGTTAATTATTTAAATTCAAAGCGCTTTACAAATGACTTAAGTGCACTCTTGCCCCGAATATCTCAATTATGATCCGAGTAGTCGCTATTTAATCTTCTAGATAGATGACGCGTCTAATTATTGCTGAATTCGCTCGACTGGAGTGATTACTTCAGAAGTCGGTGCAACGTAAGGTCTATTGTCGCGCAACAACTTCAAAACTCGCAGATGGGTTCCGCCGGCAAACAATGAAGTCCCCCTTAGGCAACCTCTTCGTATTCCTTCTCCGTCTTCCGTCCGCGAGAATCGAGTTTGGCACCTGGCCAAAACTGGCGGAGCAACAAAATCAGCGGCCAGAGTTCGGGACGAAGTTACGAATGGTTCATGCATTGTAAAACCGAGTCTTGCTGCGAGTGATGCAGAATGACGGCGACATTGCAAATTGATCATTTCAAGTCCAAAAGTGGACGCAGTCTCGCAGAATGAACAATCAAGTCGGGATGAGCAATTAAGATTTCCCCGAGGGGCGTGACGATGTAATATCGCCGCTCCGCACTGTACTTCGAGAAGTTATTTGTTACACGACGCAAGAAGTCTCAAACTCCTAATCCCAAGACCAATTTGGTCTTATCGAAAATTTCGAGAAATACTTTCGAGAGTACTGATAGCTTCATAAGTATAATTAAAGTTCTTTACAAAATTTCAAGAAATAAACTGTAAAATCCTCTCCATTTCTCACATTTTCCTTTCACTTTAGCAATTAATTATAAAGATATTTAATCTTTTCGATACGAAAGACGCACATAAACGCACACAATCGTCTAAAGAAGCATTTCAGCCGCGGAGCGTTTTAAAATTCGCGAAAATTGAACAGTTTTATAAACAACATAGCATAAAATCATTTTATTCCGCCTTTTAAAAAATTCGGTTTTAAATCGGTCGACAAATTCGCAGATAAAAAAAATCGGAAAATTTTAGCACTTCTGTAACGCATCGATCATAATTACTGGGTTAAAATTCGCGATTTGTGATTACCGTGGAAGATAAATGTCCGCGATTAAATGAAGCGCGTATTAAACACCCGAGGCTCGAAAGCATGTCATATTTCTCACCCAGTAATTTCTCATCATTTTCCGCTGCGATAAAACGCGAAGCGAGTAAAATATTTCACAGCTTCGACGTTATGTTTATAGCGCGAGAATGAGTCGTTACAAAACGCGTGTAAAATCCTCACCAACAATCTCGGATTTATCAACTATGCGAAGCTACAGTGATAAACATGTTTATCAAACATCATCATATCAATTTTATCAATGTGTATTTATTAAATTAACGGAAAACTCTCATTATTTGTAAGCACGGTATCCGCGGGGAATTTATCGCGATGCATAATGCAAAACGTGTTGTTAATGGAAATATATTTTCAAATATCAAACAAATATATTTTTCTTATTTTTCAGCGTTAGTATTAATTCTTTAAATTCTTATTAATTTTTATCTCGACGTATCTCCGTCAATTTACGTACGCTAATTAATTTAATTCTATCCAATATCGCTAATATTGAATAATATTTTGATATTAAATTGAAAAAAGATTCACGATCTGGAAGAATTTACCATGTGCGTCTCGGTAGTAAGCATGCGTCACGCTTCGAAACCTCTCTTGGCCGGCTGTGTCCCATATCTGCAGCTTGATCGGCGTGTCGTCGACAGTGACAACTTTGTTCTGCAAAGATATGAAAGATAATTTTTTTTTTAAACTTTTACAGCTAAAAGGTCGAAGACAAGGAAAGATTGAGACATTTCTGTATCATAGAACGCAAAAATAATAATGCCAACCAATGTGAGCAACGCATCTTTCTCACCAATAATAAAAAAATTGAAAGAATTTTTTATTAATTACGTATGCTGCAAGTTAATGTGTCTCACCCTGAAGTCAATGCCGACAGTCGTTATGTAATTTCCCGACAGGAAGCGGCCGTCGCGGAAACGCGTCAGAAGACAAGTTTTCCCAACGCCACTATCTCCAAGTAGCATCACCTGCATCGAGCGAGGACTTTCAAATAAACGTTTTATTCTAGCTTATTCTAGCTCGTTCATCCTCTCGCAAAATAAACGTGAATGTAAATCTTAAATTTGACGCAATTAATACTTTACAATTTTACAGAAATAAAATTAGGCGATAAAAATTGAGCGAAACTTCAGCTACATTTAACGTAAGAGCGCGTAAGAGTGAAGCAATAATCTTCGATCGGGATACAAACGTAATTTCATGCAAGATCGATAAAAGGTGACAAAAAATTACACCCGAGGAGTCCGTCGTGTTTTCCAGCGAGAAACGAACAAAGCTAGGAATTAGAATATCACGCGATCGGACGAGCGAGCGCGCGAACGAGCTTGGTATCAGGCGGCAAGGCAGGACCTTGAAGAGGAGGTCCGCGTGATCAGGTGGGGTGTGCTGGCCGGCGGAGTCGGCGCTCTCGCGCGAGGACTGGCGTCTGGTCGGGCCCGTCGCGATGTCCTGGGGCCTGGTGGAGGCGGCTGATGAGGCGGCCGACGCAGCAGCGGGAGCCGGCTGGGCCGGGCCCCGCGCGCCCATACCGGACCAATCGGCACCGGTGGCCGAGCCGCCGCCGCCGCGCGTGCCGTGCCTACTTCGCCTCGACGCGCTGCGCGTTTCCTCCACGACGCTCATGAGCCCCTGCTACCGGGAGCACCAATTTGCTCTTCTTCTTCTCGACCACTCCTCGTCGTCTCGTCGCGCTCGACGTCGTCGCCGCTAGCGCTCGCGCACGTCGCCGTTGTCGTCGTCGTAGTCGTAGTCGTCGTAGTCGTCGTCGTCGTCGTCGTCGTCGTCGTCGTCGTCTTACTCCTTCTGCTTCTCTTTAGGACGACGGCGACACGTCGAGGTCACTAAACCTCCTGCCCGGACTCGCAAGTGCGGCCCAACGTTTTCGTTTCGCGTGTGCGTGCGTGCGTATTTCCTTTTCTCGCGTTTCTCCTTCTGCCTCGCGAGTCTCCCTTCTCGCGCGAGCCGCTCTCCTCTCTTCGCGTCGCGGCGAGGGTCCACACCGTGTCGACGTGGTGCGGAACAAGACGGAGTGAAAGTATGGCCCGCTGTTTGAACGGTGTGTGCGGCGCGGTCCGGCTTTTTCGGCGGATCCTTTCTTTGTGGCGCGCGTCGAGCCGACTCGAGGGCTGCGCGGCGGGATTGGTGCGACGCTGCGGAATGTATTCACCTAGATTGATACGAATATTCTGAATAATTCATTGTTCAGTGATATTATCGGATAGATTGCGCGGTATTCGTGCTGCCGATGCCAAAACACTCCGCTTATTCGCGTTGTAATTACGCGCAAAATCCAACTTTTCCAACACTTTTCATTACGCGCCGTATTATTCATGCGTTCGCGATCGAATGTTGCAATATTAGCCGCACTCGTGATGGAATATGCATTTACGCGGCGTACACACGAGAATGAATCGGAAGCAATATCGAATGGTCATTAATCGGCAGCAAGATTCGAAATCGCACGTTTTCGCGCACCAAACACGTGAAATCACGCGGCCGTGGAAAAAAAGCGCAATAATAGTGCGCTTTAATAAAGCTCGCAGCTTTAATAAATACGCAGTTACATCGGGGATTTCGTTTATATTAAATCGGCAACCGGAATCAACGAGTGCGAAAAGACAAAAAAGTATCCTCCTTTGATCCGCGACGCGTAAATAGCGCGCAAAGCCCGAGCTATTGAAATATCCCAACGTTTGACGAACGAGAGTGTAATTTGCAGCGTCGAGGCTGTCGTGTAGTCGACGGACGGCAATTTACACAGCAAGTGAGCAACTACGTCGAACTGTCTCGAGTGCGTCACGACCAGTTACGTAAACCGTTCGCGAGCGGCTTTAACGAATTCGCGCAAAACACGGGAGGCATTGGAACGCTGGTTGCATTCACCTGCAACGAACTTCCCAGGAGATTGAAATCGATCGCAATGTATGTAATACGCGCATCGCGCGAATAATCGCTCGGAGATGCGATCTGAAAAATTCCGCGCGTGCAGTATTTTTCGAAACTGATGAGCCGATACTTTACAGAGATGGATTTCGAAAAATGACGGCGAATGCTTTTCGCAGTGCTTCTCTAAAATCTGTTGTTTGCGATACGTATTTTTACGAGTTGAGAATTATATTAAAATCAGATTTTCCACATTGCAATTATTCAGAGCTTCGAGAATCAATTTGGAGCAGAGATGCATTATAAAAAGTATCCACTTTAACGTAGAATCGCGAGAGAATTCACAATTTTCGCTGCAGACTCAACTTCGCAGGATGTTCTGTGTTGTATTATAGCTACGTGGAGGCAATTACAAGTTCATCGCGATACCAATAGCATCGTCACTCGATAACGAGCTACCTCGCGCGCAAGTCAAAAGCAGAAGCAATTTTATTTTTAGATTTTAAAACCGTCGAGAAACTAATAAATATTCACGGCATATGCATTCGATAGCATACAAGACTCTTTCGCGTTTCTCATAAATTATTGTTGTTTGATAATAACGGGCATGCATATCATGTCGCGTCAAGAAAGAAAAATGTATGACGCTGAATGCCTGAACCTCGCGTTTTCACTACGCTTTTGCGGCGCTCATAAAAAAAACATTGCGGAATTCGCTCGGAATGTCGAAAATCATCGAGACCGACTGCTGTCAATCATTTCCGTCAGATTTCTTTCTTCCAATCGAAATTTTGGCAACCGTGTGTGCTTTACGCTGTATCAAAACATATTTTTACACAGAAAATCCTTTTTTTTTTTTTTTCCAAAATATATCCATCGCCGAGCTTCTAGATATCAATTGTTCCAGTTTTTTGTTATTGCAATATCGTTCCACATATCCGGCTTTTTTCACCTGCACATCCGTGGCAGTAAAATTGTACAAAGATGCGCTTCCTCTCGCAGTTTGCCGCGGAAGCAAGCCGAGAGATAAAAACTTTCATTTCCCCGCTTTCGTTGCGAAAACGAGCAAACGTATAACCGACGAAAATATAAAGCGCGTTTCACACGGGAAAATTTAGCCGCGACGTGGCTCGTTACAGACGTGAATGTTGCGAAGTGGCGGGATGCGTGACAATCGTGAGAAACACGCGGTTATCGGTAACTCCGTCCAACAACTTTGACATATTATTTGTCTCTTTCCTCGTTTCCCACCAATCGACGCTCAACAACAAATTGGACCCCGGCAGGTGCTAAAACTCGGAGCCCAACAATCATTTCCGGCGTCATTGGGCGCGAAACAGCGCAGGCAATAGCAATCGGCGTTCGCGCCGATGCGACTGCGACACGTGTTCGTCGCAGTTGTGCAGTCGCGAGAAAAAAAGTCCGCTGATTATTCGCCCGACGATTGTATTCAACGAGCGGGGATGTTCGCCGGTCCATTTGCAGTTTCGTGCAGACGCGGAGTCGACAGTATCCTGAATAATTTAACACGCGACCGGGTTCCGAGTACCCGTATGCGCATCGCGTGCGAATAGACATCGGAAATATTTCAATATTTAACATTCTCAACAATAAACGCTATTTTTATTATTCGACCGTTATTCAACAAGTCTCTCGTACGCGGAATTTATATATCGTTTGAAAATACACACAAGCGAATTTATCATTCGAATTTATCATTCGAGCGCGCAGATGTTGGAGAATGAATTCTGGACGCGAAGCCGCGGGACGGAAGTCGACGAGGCGCGATTCGAACCTCGGAGAAATTTCTCCGGCGTCGGTTTGCAAAAACCGGCTCGCAGTGCAGATTCGAGGCTGGCAGGCCCGGCCTACCCGGTTTGGGCCCACCCACGCCGCAGCCGGCGTCAAAAAGGCTCCCCGGCGACCTACCGGTTACCCGACCAGTGGCGCCCTTTTGCAACATTTCTCAGAGAGGAAGCGAGGACCGACACGAATGCGCGGTACGATATTCACTCGATTAATTACATCGACGCGGCTTGGTGCGACGTGATTAATCGTGCCGCTAGACGAATTACTCGTGCGTGCGCCCTTGACTCCGCGCTCGGCCACTGACACCATCTTTCCCGCATGATTCTCGTGACTCGTTCGGATTACGTCACGCACGTCACACGTCGGTGATTCGGTTCTCCCATGCCGCCCGTGGAGTTCCTCAATTTTTCAAGACTCCAACGTTATTTCTCGCAACGTTTAATTAATAGCCAGTGCGACTCGAGATATTTTATCGTCGCGGTAAAATTGTAAGGTGTAATAAAAATTCAGAATAATTTTTCTTTATGTAATATCCATAATTTAAAAAAAAAAACGTTAGATTTAATAAGCGGCGGGATTCATTGCGTCGTTAATTGACTATGTGTGCGTAAGAAGAGTAATGCGGAATTTAGTAATATCATTAATATCTTTTCTAAGCGCTTCGATAATTTCCTGCGCAACTGTTTAACTGTTCTAGGCGAGTATGTTCGCCTGTCACTTGACTGCTTCAGCCGAACATATTCGTATAATATTCGCATAATCCTGTCAAATTTATCCAATCTTATTGACATTTCCTAACAAATTTTTGACATAATGTCGAAAGCGCAGAATAATGAAATAATTGTTGAAAGGTATCTGCAACAATGAACGAAAGTTATCGCGGGAAATCCGAAGCTGGCAGAAGAATTAAGCAATGCTATTATTGAATCATCAATTGCGAGATATAATTAATACTATCGATGAAACGTGGCGTCGAATATCGACGGTGAATAATTTCAGAAGAGTGCTGGATTTTTATTAATTAATATGCTTACTGTCTGGTTTCTGCCAATTTGGTCCAATTCATTCAATAATAAATCTTTTTACTCATTAATTTCATTATTCATGTATTGAATTATTAACCACTCGTGCAATGTATTTTCTTCACGACATATAAGTCTATTAATGATAATAATTGGCGATGATAATTAATTAAAATATACACGTTCCATTAATTGCAATAAAATCAAAATGCAATATTTCATGAATAAATAGTAAACATATGAATTTATCATATTACACAAGAACAAAACTGATTTCATTGCTCTGTATATACCATTCTGCAGTTTCAATCCTTTAACTGCAAATGTTATACATATATTTTCATCTAACAAAGATTGAAATATATGCAGCAAGAACAAGTAAAATTTTAAACAGGCTCCATTAAGATTTCTCGTTGTAAATTTATCAGATCATTATTTTATACCGACTAATAGACAATAAATCAGAAAGTAATTAGCCAAAATTACTATCCTGTCTGTCGATAATTCTAAAAAGGCGTTCTTTTTTTGCACGCTGCAGTTAAATAAAGAAACAAATTAATTCGCTTCAGCCTTCGATATTATTTCTTCCGCCGTTGCTATATTAGCGCTCGATTGACGCACGACCCGAAGATAACTTAGTCGCAAGGTAAACAACATAACTACGGAGTGACAAATAACCCATTTGCCAACTGCGTTTATATCTACGTCCTATATCCCACAGACGCGGAAGTGTTTCTTATTCAACGATTTTATACCTCAGCGGAGCTATGAGGCTGCAACGTAAGAAGGGTTGAGCACCTCGTTATAACGAAGAAACTTTGTTCCTCGTTACTGCCTTTGATTTCGCGGCTTTCACGATGAAGCCGAGATGTTAGGTGCCTATCATACTCGCGCGCGTTTACGACGTTAATAATACTCCGCGCAACATGCTGGCCTGCCGGAGGAGGCCGTTGCACCAAAGCATCCCAACTGCATCCACCGAGTATCTACGAGTTCGGATCGCATTTATCTTTGCGAAAATGTCGCGAAAAAAAGCCCCTCATTTCTCTCGCGCGCGCGAGATTGCCGGTCGACGACCGGCAGAGCACGCTTATTAATCGGCGCAGCGGCCATTATGGAAATTAATCACGCCCTTTCGGAGCGTGCCATTGGTCATTACGCGTGCATCGGCCGTGCAGTTGTTAGCCGACAGTGAAAGCCGATGTGGCTTCTTCCGGTCGGCTCTCGAGAACAAAAAAAAAGAAGCCCGTGAAGTTTAAGGTCAACTGGCGAAAGGTCGGCTCATGCTGCACACGCGGAAATGTCGGCAAAGCACAGTAGCGGATACCATCGCCGTTAATTGACATGCTAATTAAAGCGCTGATTGCGACGGCCTACATGTTGTCGACGCCGTCATGCCGTCAGCGGCTGTCGGCGTGCATTTTCCTTTCTTACCGCACTTTTGCGGTTTGTT